TTCCGGTATTTACTATCCTCGAGGCGCTACTGTCGGCGGTTCAAGCAGGATTAATGCTATGGCCACTCAGCTGCCCACCGATAGTGATTGGGACTATATTGTCAACCTGACAAATGATACCTCATGGAGGTGAGGCTGTTCTCTATGCGCCTTTAACTTTATCAGCGCTTACAGTTCAAAGTGCGGCCAACATGCGGAACATATTCGTACGAATCGAGAAGAACAACTATCTCCCTGTCGGGACTCCAGGGCATGGCTTCAATGGCTGGTTTCAAACTCACATTGCTCCTACATTTGGCGGCATCACATGGCGTCGTTGGCGATGTTCTTCGTGCCATGGCCACCCTCCTCGGCCAGGACCCAGACCAGATCACGCAGTACGCCAGTCGTGATAACAACCAGCTGAGCAGCACCCGTGATCGTGAAGTCGGGATCTACGGCCTCGCTCGCCACACGCGTTCCAACGGCCAGCGCTACAGCTCACGCGATTATGTCATTGAGAGCATGAACGCTGGCAGTCTCCCACTGACTCTCTCACAGAATTCACTCGCCACAAAGATTCTCTTCAACACCTCTGGCAGCAAACCTCGCGCCACTGGCGTCGAGTATCGTGTTGGGCGTTCCCTCTACAAGGCGGATGCGCGCTACAACGGCGCCCGGGGGGAACTGCGCACGGCTACCGCGCGGCGCGAGGTCATCCTCGCCGGGGGAGCCTTCAACTCTCCCCAGCTCCTCAAGCTTAGCGGCATTGGGCCCTTCGACGAGCTGCGCCGCTTCAATATACCCGTTCTGTCTGACCTTTCTGGAGTTGGCATAAACATGCAGGACAACCAGGAGATGCCAGTAGTGGGCCGCCCACAAGGCACAGCGAGCGGCTTCGGCTCCGGCGGCTTCGTCATGTACCAGACGGACCACGCACCCTACGGCGAACGCGACGTCTTCCTCATGCACGGGCCGTACGCTTTCCGTGGCTTCTGGCCTGACAGCCAGGCGAACACGGGCCTCAATGCAGGCGACCGCGGCATCTACGGCGTCTCCATCGTCAAGCAACACCCACAGAACCGCGCCGGCACGGTCCGGCTGCGCTCCAGCGACCCGACGGATCCACCCGACATCAACTTCAACCTCTATAAAGAGAAGCGGGAGATCGACATGGGCGGCATGAAGGACGCCGTCGCCTGGGTGCGGCGCGTCTTCGCCAGCACGCGCAGCCCCTCGGGCCCTGTCACGCCGCTGGAACCGCCTTGCGGGCAGGTCCTCGCGACGGGCTACTGCCGGGACCAGGCTGTTGACGAGCGGTGGATCGAGGACCAAACGTTCGGGCACCATCCGACCAGCACATGCGCCATTGGCGCTGAAGGGGACCGGAACGCGGTGCTGGATTCCAAGTTTCGGGTCAGGGGTGTTGAGGGGCTGAGGGTTGTGGATGCGAGTGTCTTTCCGAGAATCCCAGGCGTGTTTCCTGTTGTTGCCACGTTTATGGTCAGCCAGAAGGCGTCAGATGATATCATTGCTGGTTTTTGAGAACTCGGTCTTGATGGCTCCTTACTGACAAGGCTGTGCTCGTGGGAAGACGCGATCATCAGACGTAACACTTCGCAACCATATTCAACTCAGAGGGCACAGTTTTGCAGCATGTTTGTCGATGTGTTCTAGCTCTGCATGGATATTAGAACAGTTCTGAATTACTCTCGTTTGTTCCACAAGTCTTGTACCTCCAATATGTCCTGAAAATATTTATCAGTGATTCGGTGACGAGGTCCATTCGCGGTCTGTAAGCAATACAAATGAGCGATGAAGGCTGTCGCATTGGCTCTCCACAAGTCAAAGCGTAGTAGGTCACCGTGAACGTCATCTGTATTGACACAATTGAGCAGTATTCTACTCTAGATCCTGACTGTCATATGAACATCGCACATCGAGCTTTTGAAAGTCTTATTTTGAGTCATCAAGAATCTTCTTTTGCATGCTTGTGCTCATCTTTCACCAAGACATCAGTGTGACGGGGGCGCATTCATTCCCAGTTCATCTTTGCACATATAGTGAAGCAGGGAAGCCATCACTGACCTCTTTTGATTCATAGCATAGCTGTTTCCGACCCTGTGATGAAGACCACATACCTGGCTGGTCTCTGTGGCCGATCACCTGCCGCAGACGCTGAACGCAACAGTCCCAGTGAATCGTGTAGCAAACACAACTGAGTGTGACCGCACAAGCAGGCATAAATTAGCGCGCTCGTAGTCTTTCGTCCATGGAATCATCAATTTGAGGAAGAAAACCAAAAGATGCCTCAGACCTTTCTCACCATGTCTTCCACAGCAACAATCTACCTCCTCTACTCCATCCCACCCCATAACCTCTCCATCCGCACCCTGCCCCTCCCCCTGCCCCCTGCAGCCACCCGCGCAGCCTTCCTTGCCGCGCTCGCCGAAGAGACAAACCTCCCTCTCACAGACCAAAACGTCACCCTCTACTGGACTCTCCCCCACGGCGCAGTCCGCATCGCCGGCGGACCCTCCCCAACCACAACCCTCCTGCCGACGACCATCCCCGTCATCACGCCCCTCACGATCCCGTACGCGACCTGGGTCCTGTCCCCCCAAGCCCTCGTCACGCCCCGGACGGTCGTCTCCCTCCACGGCAGCGGCTACTACTACCACCACCACTACCTCGGCGCCACCATCCAGAGCAGCCTCGTCGCGCGGCCGGCGGTGGGTTTCGGCACCGGGTACGCCACGGCGCGAGTCGCGGCTGCGGTGCCGGCGACGACATATGGCGCCGAGCCGTCGCGGCTCGAGGTCTCGGCCGTCGTGCACGTCGTGGCGCTGCGGCATGTCTCGGAGGAGCAGTGGCCTGGTTATATGAGCTTCGGAGGGGGCGGCCTGCGGTTATGCGTCCTCGTTGACGTCGAGGGGGCGAGGGCGCGCAGTGGCCTACAGCAGGATGATGTTCTACCTGACAGGGGTGGGGACCAAAGTCCTCCGTATAACGCGGCTGATGCGGAATCAATTTGAGAACAGAGAGGCGCGTA